ATACGTACACTCGAGTCGAGATTACCCATTTTCTTTTCTCCTCTTCCCCCCGTTTTTTTAATCATTTTTCTCACACGCCGGCAAGTCTTATTATTCCGCCTTACTCCCGAAAAAAGGAGACGCAAGGTGCAGCTGCAAACTGCAGGTGAAGCGTGAAAAATTTCTTCTTCAAATAAACCAAGACCTTCGGCTTTGACGCCCCAGAGAAATTTTACTCGCAGTTGGGCTTCTTTCAAGAAAAAAAAAAAAAATAAATAAAAACCTTTCTTTCACTTCTCCCTCTTTTTTCTTTTTTTGTACACATAAAGAACCATTCGATGGCATCAGAAAAAAAATCCAGCTGCATATCCACACCGAGAGAAAAAAATTACTGTGCTAGAATGGTCATCTAGTAGTGTTCGGTCGTCTAGGGACTTTTTACTATTCGAACAATAATTTTGAATGGTTAAACGAGTAATTTTTGTTGCAAGTATAGCGATTTTTACTGTTTGTACAATAGAAATTACTATCCAAAATGGTAAAAATAAGGTTGGCCAAAGTAAAAAGTCCCTATAGATGGTGGAATGACACCAGATTACCATTCCAGCTCAGTAATTTTTATTATGTTTTTCTCTCGGTGCAACAATTTGTTGTTTTTTTTTTCTCGCCGTTCGAAGTGCATGGACTCGAGTCAATCGAGCTCGCGGGTCACGGCAAGGTAATCTTGTTACAGCAGCGAAGGCGCGGGAGTATAATAGAGAGAAAACTCGAGCGGAAGCGAAGGAGTCGTCAAACGAAACGTAACAACTTTCTTCCCTAATCGTCGAATCCTCGACGGAAAGTGTATACCTGAGAGACGCCAATGGAAAATCGAAGGATTTTACAAAGTATAAAGACTTTTATTTCCCAAGGGGGGGGGGGGGCACGGTACTACAGGTGACTCACCGAGTTTGGACACTTTGGCGGGTGTACGCGGACCCTTTCCCTCTTACGTGTATATATACTTCTTCTTTTCTTTCCTTCTCAACGAAGCAATTAGGAGTTCAAGATTCTCGGAACAATCAGAGATTATCAGCTGCGATGAGCGGAGAATCCAATCAAGAGGCAAACTCGCCCGACTCGAAATTGGTTTCCAACCCCCTCCTGGAGGGGTTGCAACAGTGCGGGGGTGTCGCAGGTATAGCTTGACCTCGTTCTGCAGCAAGAAGGGGGGGGGGTGTAAAGAAGAAGAAAAAAAAGAAAAAAATTAAACATGACGGAATGCGAAAAGAAATACAACGTATCGGAAGAAATATAAATACTCGTATAACTTTCTTATCTCGGTCAAACGGCTGCTTGCACCCGACAATACTTCTCGGGACGGCCGTGAATGCGTCAGCTCTACTGATGTTAAAGAGGGTGTAAAAAAAAGGGAGGGGGGCTAGGTAGTACCTTTATATGTTTTTCTCTTTCTCTCGCTCCACTGTGATGCGCTATGTAGGCCAAGAAGCCAGAGAAGCTTGAAAACCTTAACAACATTTCTCTCGGCTCGTGTACGTATATACATGTAGGTATGTACAAGTATACACAAGTATAGCAGTTAAGTCACTGGCGAATGAACGAAGCAGCAGATGAGTACGTCACGTGTTTCCATTTTCTCTAATCAGCTTTAAACGCTCGTTTTCATTTATTTATCTTCTCAATCACTGGTGTTTCTCTAAACTATTACTTTTAGTGTCTAATAAAGGTTTGTCTGAAAAAAAAAATGCAAACACCTATACTTCTCTTGCTTTCAGGAGAAAACGTGTGTGCTAAGAGGACGTTCTTACAAAAATATCTTGCAATCAGATTTGTTTTTTGTTTTTTTTTTTTTTTAATAATGTTATCTCACCTTACTCGTCTACCTCATTTTACGAAAATCATCAGAGCTATTTTATAGGTATTGAACATCAAAGTCTCACTATTTGATAAACATTTATATTTGATTTCTCGTGCTTCTGAACCGAAAAAAACTGCTAACTGAACTCCAATTCAAGATTTTGTTATTTTGTGATTTTTATGTACAGTTATTTTAAGTTTGTTTTAATTAGTTTATTATTGGTTAATTTTAAGTACAAGTCTGAGACTTAAATTTTTTTTTTTTTTACCGCTAAAGATTGTATTTACCGATGTACTTGCATCTCTTTCTTTTACGTTACTTCGCAAAACCTTACAAGCACAGCTGATGTTTATTTACGAACTTGTGTTTGCCCGATAACGTTGCATCCGAGAGGCCAACTAAAGAGCCACTCTCTCTTTCGATCCATCTCGCGGATGAGTTTACAAGTTCAGGAGGTCAACGGGGTATTTACGTGTCCACCACTTGACTGCGGGACAGCGAAATACTTTTGTTTTTTCTTTCAAGGAAATTTCCTCCCTTTTCTTTACATTTCCTTTCTCTTGAAAAATTGTGATCACGCGGTTTGTTTGTACCGGGAAAATTCAAGAGTACGAGGTTGAATCACAAAAAAATTAATACGTATTTTAGGGTGAAATGAAATAAAAAATTATTCGTTTGAAAAAAAAAATTAATTGTTTGAATTGTACTTTGAACTTTTAAGAATACGAACATTTGATTAAACTCCGGGGCAGGGGGTAAGTTAGTGCGCAAGGCCCGCAATTTCTAGAAAAAAAAAAAAAAAAAAAAAAAACCATTGACTGAGAAGAACCGTTTCCAACTTTGTAACAATATATAAATTTCTTTTATTCATCATCGCCCGTAGGCTCAGACATGGCATTTTTTTACACAAGCATAGTGTTAATTAGCCATCGGTGCACGTGAGTTATGACTAGGTGTTTATATACGTATATAAACATCTAGACCAACTCAGTCACACCTATGATGATCACGTAGACGAAGCGTCAGTGAAACAGTTAATCGACTTTCGAGAGTTAAGAGCACAGGCGAAAGGGCGAGACCCGAATGGTGACCAAACGGTCACCCATTAGCATCATTAGCATCGCCGTCTCGATTATCTGTCGATTGCACTCGATTACGTAATACGCGCAACTTTAAGAGTAGATAAAAAAATAATCGCAACGATTGTCCAGCAGTTCATCTATTTTCTTTCTCGCCCCTTGTACATCTCCGTCGACCTCTCAACTTTCACGATTACAAAAACTGTGTATATATAAAATACCAAACATCTTGCGCAGCCATATAAAGGATAAAAAAAAGCAGTGGCGGGGGTCTTATAAACATCACCAGGTGCAAATATAATTTTTTCCCTGCTCCGCAGCGAATCGATATCTGCCGCATCTGCAAAAGCACCAGAGAAAAAGGGAGATGAAGGAATGAATTTGTATACACGTATACACCACCACCACCAGCACCGCCGCACATCTGCAGGGGAAGAAGCTGACTGACCCAGTTTGCCGCCCGCGCTTTGCTCCTTTGGAAGAAATTTTTTTTTTTTTTTTTTTTGTTCTTCACCTTATCCGGGAAACGACACTTGTACTTTTACGGCGGATGCAAAGAGCGGGTGAGGATAATTAACTACCAAGATTCGTTTTGACGGTCCTTTTCTAAAAAAAAAAAAAAAAAAAAAAAAAAGCTTTTTTTCGCCACTGCACCGATGAAAGTTTGAGCTTGACATTTTGTTGAAAAATTACCATGAATTCTCGACGCAAGAGTTTAGTGGACAAAAACCGAGATGAATCGTTCGGCAAACACCATTTCACTGTCTTTCGTTACCCTTCACGCGTGGCTTTGTGCACCGTTGTAATTTCCCTCCTCGTTTTTCATGCTTCCCAAAGAGACCCTCCAGTATACTTATACAGGACAAGTATGGTATATAGGTAACAACGCACTCAGACGCCTCAGAGCCAAAGCCTCGGGAGTTACGAACTACTTCCCACCACGGACCGGGAGCCACTTGCGCCTGTCGTCCTCTACATCTCTTTCCGGGGTTTTCTACGTAATCACTGATTTCCCACCCGGAAAATTTTCTTCTCGCTCGTTAAAATCCCGTCGACTCGACGCCTGCGCTCTTAATCAAACTTAACTACCTTAATGCGACTTTCATGTTGCGGAAACACCTCTTCTTTCACTCGCTAACATATTACGATGCACATCCTCGTTAAACTTGTCTCGGAATTTTCATCACGATATAAAAAATACTCCCGTGGAAACATCAATAAACAACAGTTGCAAGTAATCTATGATACGTAAATTAAAATTTGGTTATTGTCATGATTAACCGCTTACGATTGTGTCAGCAGGTATTAGCAATTTCGTCTCATCCAATCAAATTGAAACCAAATATAACAATCCAAACGAGGGATCGAGCTTTTCCTCGTAAATTAAAGAGACAAATGACATTTTTTACTTTTTAATTTTTTGATGGATCGAGAAAATTTCCGTGAAAAGAGACACACAGGGTTTCGCAAACACGTGTATACTTTTTACCTTATGCGTGTACGTGCACAACGCGACGTAGGTATGTTTTTTTCCTCGAGCAAACAGCGACAGCGCAAAGAAAAAAAAAAAACTCCCACGTCTACTTCCCATAACGCCGTGTAGTTGGCTCTGTTTTTTCTCCTGTACTCGTGTATTGAAATACATTTTTAAAAGAATGTCAACCCTTTGCATTACCTTTGCATTGTCCTCACGATGCTTATCGTCCTTCCCGTTCCTCGTTTCCATTGTACAAGCTGCACTGTAGCGCGAAAACACCCGCCAGTTCATAACATCGCTTTTTTTTTCATGGCATACACACGAGCGAATAAGAGATTATCCAGAACTGCGTGTCTGATGCTTACTGCATACCTTTTCATTTCGTCGTAGAAGCTCCCTATACTCTCGGCGAACAGCTCTCCCGCGTACATGGCTTACACGTCGCTTATCCAACAAACGTGTATGATAAAAATGTGCAGGAATGAGTCGAGAGAGTACCGTGTGTTATATATTATACGAGTGCAGCTAGTCGCGATGATGCGCTCCGCGGGGAAAAATTGCTCCGCAAAACTGTGGAGAAAAGCTTTCCGAGAGTTTCGAGCTTGTGGCTCTCTTCTTTTGTCGAGAGAGAGATGGATTGACCCAAGTTTGCCAAAGTAACACATGTTGCACCGTTGCGGTATGGATTTTTGATTCGCACAGTCGGGTAGAGAGACACGGAAAATCTTTGCCATGAGCGTATTAATGTATATTTTTTATGGGTGTACTTTTTCTTGTTGAAAAAAATATGATGGTGCATGAAAAACGCAAAAATAGAGTTGAAGAATCGAAGATGCCGCTGCGGTGGGTGTAGAGAGAACAGGTCACCACTATGCAAAATATTTATGCGTCGCACTCGTGTGTATACCTCTGGATGCATCTTGCGTTTTTTACTTTATTTTGCGACGTGACTCCGCAGTAACATAATTTACTCGCTTGAGTGTAAATATATTATATTATGTATATATATGTAGTGCAGAGTTGTATTTTTGGTTACTGGTACATTATCCCCAAAGGAATGTGTGCGTTTCGGCACGTGCTGACGGTAAAATCGGGGACAACGCGACGCCGCGAGAGTGCTTTTTTTGTAGGGGTGGAGAGATAGGATTGCTATTTTTATGCTCTGATGAGACGGAGAGAAAGAGGGGGTGGGGGTGGGTTTTTATAGGTTTGCGATGATATGGATCTCCCTTGGAATTGGTTTGTGCACCGAGACAAGTTGATGGAAGAAGTTTTCGCAAAGGATGATTTTTTACGAAAATGACGAGGAATTTGATCGTACGGAGTATAGAAACGAAATGGCACAATTTATCGAGTCAATGGTTAATTTCATTTTGGCCGTGAAATATTTAATTTTCATCATGCAGAAGTGCTCCCAGTCTGCGTAATTGGGATTACGATTGAGCCTCTCCTGGGATTGAATTCTCAAAGCCATGAAAAAGCCATTCGCTCTTATCTTGACGAAGTGGCCAAACGAAGCTCGAAGGGCATAAAAAATAATTCAATCGTAAAGTCTCCAAAGATATTAAATTTTCGCTGCACAACCACATGTGGAGGGAAAAACAACCAATACAATTTACATTTTGTCGCGGCGTTAATCTTCGCGATCGCGAGTTTACCGCAACAAAGATTTTCCGAGCAGAGAACAGTGAAACGTCCCGGACAACGAAGTGGCGTTTTGCTTGATGTGTATACACCTTATGTAGCACTATAGTATACCATACAGTATTAGATAGTGGTGCAGTTGCAAAAGGGTGTCGACGAGAGGGCCAATAAATTGAGATTATACGGGGAAGGGCCAAATCTCGGATGGCTTTACATAATACACTTTTGCGTGTATAATGATTTTTTTCAAACATTATATATAGTTACATACGATGTACCTGCGGTGATGATGGAACATCTCATTGTACTTCTCGATACAAATACATATACCATCACGTTGTACTCTCGTGCTTATACATATGTACATTTCCATTAAGAAACGCATACTATGAATACATAAATAAAAGAAAAGCATTTACGTCTAAAATAAAAGCTACGCGCCCTTGAAAATGGCGTCGTTGTGGTATCTATTATTTTTCCATAGATTAATTCTCCCCTCTTGTGTCTACATACTGGAGAGGAAACGTATGGTGTTTGATTTGTCATATTTGACCTGGAAAACGATATTTACAACTATTGTAGTTTATTCTTTAAATTGAAATTTATGAATCACCTGTTCGAACAAGCTCGTATTTGCACGAGGGTTTGTACTTTGTCCACATTGTTGTGAGGCTTTAATTTTCAACGATATCCTAGCGCGAAATCAAAAGCATCACTGGTAATTAATAACATTTATTTTATTTATTTTTTTTTTTTTTTTCATTCAAGGAAAATTGTAAACTCATACAACTGGTGTCGATAAAAACGAAGATTAAGAGAAAAGCTGTACTTACGCGCGTCAAGAAAGCTCGAGAACGAGATACTTAGGTATACTATCACAGAGAGGAGGGAAGAAACTCGGCTATGGAATCGATACTGTACTAACCAACAGAGCCGAACAGAGCGAGGAAGGAGACTCCAAGTAACGCGGTGAATACGAAATATATACGAGGGAGAGGGCAAGCGTGGAGTTTGAGGCGTTGGTGCATGGGAAGTGGGGATTTTATTAATGTATGACGGTATACACTCGCCCCTTCTGACATCGATCACTGGGCTGTGTATTGTCTCTGTAACTTGTACTTGCACCTCCCATATTTTATTGCCCAAAGCCCACGTCGGGCTTGAAAAAAAAAATGGTGTGTGTTCACAATGACACATTGTCTTGGATGAAGGTTATAAAAAAAAAAGTTTTGTTGCATGTGTGAATTATCTTCATTTGATCTCAATAAAGGATCATTTGAGTTTTTACCAATGCAAATACATGTTTTTACGGTGAAGCAACATTTTGCGAAACTGTGTTTGAGCTTGTATGTATGTTACTGTAAGGAAACGAAATATATTAAATATATATTAATGATTAAAGATTTTATTAGCTTTTGAGAGACATAAGTATACTATCCGTTCCGTCACGTAGACTTTTTTTCCACTGTAAGTCGAGGTATACATCTTCTTCTCTGTAAAAAATGACATTTCTATTACCTCTTTTACGAAGAATGCGATACATCTTTTTTCTACCGAAAATTGAGATATTACCCCTTTGACCTTCATGTTTGAGATATATCAACTTTTACCACAATTTTTTTTTAATTTTTTTTTTTTTTTAAGGCAAGATACTATCCTTTACGCCAAGACTTTGAGATAATAGCTTTTTTCCACCAAAAACCAAGACGCTGTCTTTTTTCCATTCACCGAGGCGTCGTATGTTTGCAGTGGCTTGTAGAAGAAGTCTCAAGAAGTTTTTGTTGTTAAACTGCGGAATCTCTCGAGTTTATGGAACGAGGTTATCATTAACGAGGTACATCTTGGATCAAACATAAATCGATTAATTTGTATGTAGTTATACGAATCATGCCTAAACAATCGTATTATCTATATGACATTCACAACGACAACAACAATGAATATACTTACAGAGAATCGAGATGAAATATGAAGATGCTAGTTAACATTTATTACAATGCATTTTTTGTTTATTTCCGTCACAGTACCTACGTACATCGTTTGACTCGTTACAATAAAGTCAATCAAAGCTATTTGAGGGAAAAGATCATCTTGATGGATTTTGATTATCACTTTACTAAACTAACTACATTTATATCTTTTTGCGTGATATCACCCTCGTTGATTTCGATCAGTGGTCGTTGCGATGATAACAGTTGATAAATGAATGCTTTTTCATCAAAAGTTGAACACGAGCTTGTAAAAAGGTGCTCATTGTACTAACTTGCAATTCAAACTCGAGGGCAATGCAAACATGTTGAAGGTGCAATAAAGATTTTGAAAATTGACAATTGGATGAAGCTGAAACTAGCAGCCATACCGTTAACAAGTTCTACTTGGGGGATCCTTAAAACTCAATACCAGGTACCTTCTTAGTTTTGTAAAATACAATAGTACCTGTATTAATTTTGAGGGTACCCCAAGTAAAGGTAGAGTTTGTTGTTTGACAACTAACATACCAAACAACCCAATAGTGCTCGCCTATTTTTGATTCATGAAAAAGTAAAGAGATGTATACCTACACTGTAAAATCCATATGTATCTCACTCCGTTGATATGATTATCATTCGTTTTGTTGGCGAAAACATTTCTTATTTTTCAATTCACGTAAGTATTTATAAAGGGATAGTGGAATTGTGCGACGCGAACTCGCTCGAACGCTAATTTCTTTCAATTTCGCTGTTGCTTGTCATTACAGTATCCTCTTTGTACCACCCCTGCCCGAGGCAAAAGGTCGTACAGCCCTCCATCGGGTCACGCGTCTTCTATTCCTCTCCATACCATTTTTCCTATTCACGGCTCTGCCATCGTCCACGCGATACATCTTCCTTACCACGCAGCCTGAACCCTCTTTTTTTTTCTGTTTTTTTTTTCATGCTCGATCATTACTCTTGATTCCCTCGAACCTCCACCTCACGTGGGGTACTTTCGTCCTCATGTTGTCTTTTGGTTCTCGATCGGTGGGCATCGGGTAATACAAACGAGTGCGGTCTCCCTCTAATTCGTGAACATCGCTCGAAGTGTCTGTGTGTAGTAAGCAGTAGCCTCTTTCATCCTCATTATACTTATTTCATTGTATCCACAAAATGTAATTATTTTTATTGTACTGGAGTGTACAAGAAGAATCTGAAAGTAGCGAATTCCACTTTAACGTAGCTTATTTATTTATTTGAAACAATTATTCATAAAATTAAAAAAAAAAAGGAAACTTAATTTATCCTGTTTGAATGTTACCAAGGCATATTTAGAGCAGTAAACGCCGCAAATTGGGCACAATGACTCGCTAGATTACCGAAAAACTTTAGTAAAATCTCGCTCATAATTATTTCTCGTGTGAGAACACACAAAGCATTCCTCGCAACAATGGAGCCTGAAAACAAGATCGTATCTATCTACCCTAGAGCGATGATATGGTTTTACAGGGTTGTCTGAATCCAAGACTGCTTCGTATGATGATAATGATAAACACCATTATTTTAAACTTGGCTTATTATATCCTGTAAATTAACAGTAACTGTTCGATAATTTTTTGCATTTTGTAAATTAACAATAGAATTTTTTTTTATGACTATATCCACTAAACTGCATAGTTTTTATTATTATTTTTATATTATTTTCAATGACCGTTATTTTATTTATTTATTTTTTTGTTTTATTTTTTGTTGTTTTGATAAAAAAAAAAAAACCACGGTACCACAGTAGGTAAAAAAAGGTTTCAAAATTCATCACTGCTTCCGTAGCTAAAGTACAAAAGTAATAAGAAAGATTGTAATCAAAAACAGTCCACCCCAAAGAGGACTAAATGTATTTTTTCACAATGAAGCTTTTACAATAAATACACTACGTATGCAGGTATTTGTTGGAAAAAAAAAAATTTTTTTTATACGATAAGAAACATTATTCATGTCTCGTTGGCTCGTATTTACAGGATAATCTTCATTGCTCATTTTTTTGACCAATTATTACTAATATTAGTATAAATTAAAATAGTTTACGGTTATCTGTTTCTATATATATGATAATTTGTCAAGGAATTTGAGAAAAAATATTTTAGGAATTAATATTTACAGTTTAACGCCGTAGTTCTCTTTACTCTCGATATCTACAGTATTAAAATGAAATGTGGAATGTAATTTTTCAAGATACTCTTACAAAAGTAATGAAAATATTATTGTTGTTCAAAAAAAAAAAAAAAAAAAAAAAAAATTACATACAAAATTGTAACACGTGATTTTATGACTTTCGCTTGTAAAGGAAAGAATAAAAATCTGCCGACGCAAACGAAATGTTTCATCACTCCATTTCGTACTGGGACATAAAAAAAAATGTTCAATGGTTATTAGACGAAACCAATTAATTTTTCGATTAAACCTATCGCGAGCTTTGAGAGGCTTCGAGTATAAAATCAACAAGGCTTAGAGCCACGGCCTCAACTTGCTCGAGGAGACTCAACAGTACAGCTGAAAAATGGCTCTCAATCTCAAAAAACTGCTGCCTCTGGTAAGTAACGCAATTTTACGTCTTTATACGATTTTCTGCTTGCATCGATCTTTGGTAAGTTAAATATTGAACTTGTGCCAAGTTGCTTTTTTCACTGTAAGTATAAAAATTGATAGCATCACTCTTCAAGAGTTAATTTTCCTTTTCTTTCGGAAAGAAAAATCACTTTTGTTTTAACTCTGCACATACGACTGTCGTTACGATCGTTTAAATGAATTATTTTAAAAAAAATTTGTTTGACAGCTTTTTTTGGTACTCATCATAAGTCCAGATGCCAAGGCGTCAAAAATTACGAGAACTTTACAGTCCATACTGGAGGTCCTCAATAACATTGAGGAAAATCTAAGAAACCCAGCGGTCATCTCCACAATCTTGGATGACCTCGAAAACCGATTATTCAGGGGCCCAGCGGGCATCAACAATTATGGATCTCAATAAAGGATCATTTGAGTTTTTACCAATGCAAATACATGTTTTTACGGTGAAGCAACATTTTGCGAAACTGTGTTTGAGCTTGTATGTATGTTACTGTAAGGAAACGAAATATATTAAATATAGTNTTTTTTAATTCATCTCAATCTCGAGGATGGTAAATTATGTGTAAATAATATGAAAGATTGCTTCACCGTCCGCCAATAACAAGATTATGGACTCTGACCAGCCGGAAGGGTCCAACGAGATAGATTCCGATTCGGAAAACGTAACGGACGCGCCCGACCAGTCCATCGGACTTAGCGTAAGTAGCCCAGCATAGGAACATATTATGTAGTGTCAAGTACTGCTTACGATTTTTCTAACAATTTCGTAATTCATCAGGGCATATTCGATGCTGCGGTTATTGACCTTGGTATCTAGAAAACGGAGCCTTTTGAACTTTAGCTGATGATTAATAGACATTGTTTATAATTATTGCATAAAATAAACAATTAGTGAACAATACCACGACTCGTCTATGCTTCTATATTTATTCACACAGCCATAATCCTATTTTATCCATTTTACCTTGTCTTAAAAAAAAAAATACTCATCATTTTATGTGTTTGCCAGTAATTTATGAAATAATGAAAAAATTAGTTAATGTAAAAAAAGTTTCAATAACATAAATCGTCATAGTTCAAAGATGATAGATAAAACCACGGTAAGTATAAATTATTCTAATCTATTGTGAAATGAGCACTGTGATGATGAGTACAAATATACGTTCTGCCTGGATTAAGGAAAATTTGAGGTCAATATTACTTCAACCCGTGTAGTTTTCACAAAAAAAAATTATTCGTATGAAAAGAAAACAAAGTTCTTACGGTGCTAAGGAACCAAAAGAACTTATGTAAAAGGTGCAAAATTTCATGAGCTTTTTCTTCCGTTTTTTAAGGGTGAAGATGAGGTCGAAAACTTTGAAAGACAGTATATCTTTGATAGTAAGGTAAAGAGAATCAATAGTAAAGAGAGAGAGAGAGATGAAACTAATAAGGAGTAAAAAATGCAGTCAGTCACGTTAAACATAAATTTACTACCAATTATATATTTGGTAGCAAATTATAAAGTGTTACGTTTTTCTTACCCTCAAAATACTTGAAATAATTAGAGGAGCGTCGAGAGCGCCACTGTTGTGCGCGTTTGAAGTCACGATGCTTAAGCTACATCGATCGGCTGAAAAATGGATCGAGGTCATCGCGGGCGAAAAAGAATTGCCGTGGAGGACCTTCGTCGGATATTCATGTTTAGTACTCCACTCATTGTCGCTGTTGCGGCTTTCTTCCTTTTGATTTACACCCTTTGGTTATTTGTACCTCTGCGTGCTGTTTGTATTGTTATCCTTCTCGTGAAAAAAAATCTTTACGAGATGAAAGTATAAGTACTAGCGCGCTTTCAACTTTACGTCATGATAACGAAATATTCGTTGAATTTTTTTCACGGTATATAATATTTCTACAAATTTCCAATACCGTGAAATAGTACATTATACTCTGTAAAATCCAAGTGTGTTAAGGTACACGTTTAAAGTGTGGAATCGAATTTTTTGTTTTCATAAAAAGCGTTCCAGTAGGGTTGATTAACGTTTTAAGAATAAATATAAATCGATGCTTCGTGAGCTATTTCACCTATTCTGTTAGACTAAACGGTTTTTTTTCTTTAACGGTTGATGTAAGAAGGCTGTAGAGAGTAAAATACATTTATGTCACATATATAATACACACTTGGTATGCACGTTGAATCTGTGACAGCCAAGTTTTTTCACTCCAAAGCCTTCCTGCATTGGTTTTGCTATTTAAATGTGTCCAGTTCAATGAAACTGGTTAACCACTTGATGGATAATAGATTTGTTTGTTCTTATCAACGCAATTACGATGTATTTTGTAAAAGGCAAAAATTTCTACTACACACTTTAAATGTAATGTAAATACGCTTGGATTTACAGTGTACACACCCATAATATGTGGATTTCTACATAACTTCAAGCTCTTTGTATCTGGATGGTGAAACGCATGGATTTCATTCGACCAGTATGTTCTTATTCCCATAAAAAGACATCGCGTTTTGCTGATTCAGGACATGCGTCTCCAATGATCTCACATCTAAAATCCTTGCGACGATTCAATGAGCGCATCCATGCAACCTGCACCGGTACCAGTATCCAGAACAAAGAGACCAAGCATCGATAAGCCAGTGCCGCAAATTCAACGAAAGGGAGAGAACTTTAAATAAAGCCGAAAGAATGAGCTCTCCACTTGCAAAGGGGACCATCACGCGCGTCTCGTATGATCCGGTGGTATACCTTTTTTTACGACACGTGTGTACAAGTACATTTACGAACTCAGGCGCCTGCCTCCGAACAATAGTAGAAGCGCGTCTATTCAACGCGAATGGGGTAATGCGGTCTAGTTCACCCGCGGATGTTTAATCGGACGTCCGAGTGGGTTCATCGTCTGTGCGGGGGGAACCGAGGAGACTACAATAGATACACCATATATCGCCCATAGATGCGATTTGCGCACTCGTGTCGGTGATTATTACCTGCTGTAGCACATATTCACGTGTTGGTAATTCTGACTGCTTCTATGTATACGCATGTATCTCCTCAGACATGGGCACCCTTTGATTGATGTCGAATTTATCGCTTGGCTTCGATCCTACATGACGATTTGAGCTGTGTGCGCGTGGAATGCCCAACTGATTCGAATTGTCAGTCAGCTCTTCATAATTCCGAATTTTGCAGAAAAATTATAACATACTTACACCTGCAGCTGGATTCAATTGATTGTAGGAACATATTTACCCAAAACAATTATCAGTCAAACCATCGAGTCTCATTTTTCCAATGTGTATATTTTACGGTCTTGTATATCATGTTTTTTTTTTTTTTTTTTTTTTTTTCATTCAAGGAAAGGGACTCGACCATTTTTGCCGCGTTGATTTGCGGCCCTAGTGATAAAAATTCGCTTCAAACAACTTCGTCGCAGAGGTATTGTTTTTCATCGANCCCAAAGAGGACTAAATGTATTTTTTCACAATGAAGCTTTTACAATAAATACACTACGTATGCAGGTATTTGTTGGAAAAAAAAAAATTTTTTTTTTTTTTTTTTTTTTTTTTTTTTTTTTTTTTTAATTAAAAAAAAAAAAAATAATAATAATAACAATGTCAGTGCGTACAAGATGATAAAAATGTGCGACTTTTCGTATTATTTTCCAGGTTGATAATATTGGCTGTCCTGTTGTACATGCTAGAATGGGACCTGAACGTCCAATGCGTCCTCCTGCTCTGGGAGTACGTGATCGGCTACATAATCTTATTCCTCGTATCGATGGCCATCGAGCTCTCAATGTGCGTGCTGGCGACACGCGGCAGCATACTCAACACCCTCGCCCGCGCGCCCATGCAATACGTACTCTACGCACGACTGTGTAAGTATACTTGACGATCCGTTTATTTGATTTTTTTTTTTTTTTTTTTTTTTTTTTCATTCAAGGAAAATTGTAAACTCATACAACTGGTGTCGATAAAAACGAAGATTAAGAGAAAAGCTGTACTTACGCGCGTCAAGAAAGCTCGAGAACGAGATACTTAGGTATACTATCACAGAGAGGAGGGAAGAAACTCGGCTANCGCACGACTGTGTAAGTATACTTGACGATCCGTTTTTTTTTTTTTTTTTTAGGAATATTTATATTTTCAAACAAATGAATAACCACAGTCAGGACAATGCGTCAGTCATTGGAAATTTTGTATCGTATAAATAGTTTCTCGTATAACATTATTATTGTGCGTTTCAATTTTACTGTTGGAGGAACTGTTCGAGCTTTTTTTGAAAGCTCCGCAAAAAATTAAGGTGTAAAGTTTAAAGATTTTTTTTTTATTGTGTATACACCAATTATTTTTATACACCAATGGCGGTACGTTTGGATACGTGTATATATTTATTTTAGAACAATCCTACGCATGAATGAGAAAACAAAATGCAGTTTCGAAAAATGGTCGTTTGAAATTTCTATTTGGACGGAGAGAGAAAACAGTAAAACTGAAATTGCAGGTAGCCGTGACGCGTTACGTGCGCAGTAGAAGTAACATAGAATCTGTCGGTGGAGCCGTAAAATCCCTACGTGCTATTTCAAACTCGTCCGACCGTATACCTTTGAGCGTCACATGTCGTATCGCGTTTTCATTCTTTATTACCTGGCATTTTTGTATTTTATTCGCTTGATTTTACTACGTTATGATTTTTAAAGGTATACGTGCATTTATCAACGAGGAAACGAGAAAATTGATTTTCAATTCATAGCTACGTAGAAGTTTCGGTATTTAAAAGATCAGTCAATTGCGCGGTTTTGGGATTTGAAAATGCTGGACTTTACGATTGCACGATTTAAGGATTTGAAAATAAAAAACAGAAAAGTCCATTTATTCACCAGTTTTATCGGCTATTGAAAGATTCGACTGATGTTTCGAAGTTGCAATAAATTAATGAAATAAAATAAAATTAAGGCTTATGCAAGTGGAGGTCTGTACAAAAACAAATGCCCGAGTTGTAGTAGAAACAAGAAAATATTTACCTATATAATACATCAAAAAATAGTTATAAAATTCACTAGTTTGTACATGTGGTAATGTTGTATTGAAAAAATATTTTAAAAATCCGCAAAGCATACTAGCAATACCTATAGCATTTTTAAACAAGATACACTTGCCTTTTCAAAGAAATCTATTTCGGCCCCAATTGCAAGGGCGCAGGGGTGCCCAGCGCAGGGAGGAAAGGAGGGATATCACGCGTATACCGAGCGAAGTCCCGCAAAAATGCCGTGTACCAAATTTCCCTGTATACTGTGACGCTGTAATATCCGATAACGTGCTCGAGAAATTGTAGACCTCGAATCGAGTCACCTCTGGGTGCATCTAAAAAATATCGAATTGCTCACTCCATGGGTAACCCCTTCCGTGTCCCAAAAATCGATGTTCCGCACTGGCAATCGACAAATATCAGGTTACAGTCGATGAAAGTTATGACAATTGCGTGTACAGTTTTGAGAGCAGTACCACCCACATAAGTTTTGATGTAAATTCTCAATTTTTTCTTTATGACTAACGTGTAGTGCAGATAACACATGGATTAAAAATAAATGCAGAAACACATCAGACATGATAAGTATAGCTTATCGGTATCGGTTCCGGTTACTGGCACTAAAATAAAATACACACGTAATGCACACATAAATGCAGTTTCATGCATTTGTTTCGACGCGATAATAAAGCTGATCATCCGAGAGAATGACATAACTCGCGTAAACGAGAGAATGATAAATGCAAATGTAATGGTATATCTTTCTAGTAGAGAGAATGCCTTTGGCTAAACTAATCAATTTATTTAAATCATGTAATGTATACAAGGTTGTTATTGTTGCTGTGAACTGGTCGACGCTCCATTGGGTACAAGTTGATTTGATTCTTGATGTACATTATGTTTCCAAACATGCACGTTTTTATACGAGTGATCAATACAGTTGAATTTGAGTGGTGGAGTACTTCGCTCAAGCGATGCAAAATTGTTACTCGTAACACTTTTCTTTTATATCTTTAAGTATCATTTAAATTCGTGATCCACACATTAAAACTTACTTTTCTTTGATTATAGTTATTCTTACGTCTTTAAGTGTTGTCAATTTGAATGAACCAGTAAAGATGATTATTGGGTTAAACTGTATTCAAGTTTTTACATCTCTGTGTTTTTTTTCCGTCACTTCTGTCTGTTATTTGCACTATCGTTTTTTTGGTTTATGTAGGCCATTGTGACAAATTATCCAAGTCTGTGCCAAACCATGTATTGCCATAGCTTTATCCACGACTTTCTGGTTCGTGCCATTAAATCCACATCTCCCACTTTACACATTTGTTTTTATATCGATGTCTATTTCTTATTTTCCGATTCGTTGTTTGTGCTATCAATGCTTTTTTTCTTCGACAGAGTTAGTGCGCGTAGAGGGATTAATAGAAAAAAATTTTGATGGAGCAGTTTTACTTCTCTTCCTCTTAACTTTATATTGTATCGACTGACACGCAGATAGCGACCGAAAAAAAAAATTATACTGTGTGTCCTATGGGTTTGGAATCAAATTTTCAAATTAAACTGACACACGTACAGTACAATCAATGAAATATTTAATTATCTTCATATTTTTTAGTCCATTTTTTTATATACAACGTTCAATATTCTTGTGTAGTAGTTTCTATAATTTCGTATCTTTTTCTGCATCTACATTTTTTTCTATGTATAAATAGCTACAATTTCTTCTTCTTAGCATCTCATGCGCTGTGCCTTTGTTGGATTCAACTTTTGTCTTAGTTTCAACATGTTTGCAACTGTAATTTTATATTTCTGTTTCGTCAGTTTCACGTACACCTTTTGCATCTGTAACTCCATGTTTCCACATTTGCGCCTTTTTATCTTCATTTTCGTACTTGTGTCTCCACATTACTACTTTATGCCTGTAGTCATGGATCCCTTTCATCGTGTCTCTGTTCATCCAATACGTAATTTATTTTGGCCTCCACATACGTCAGTGGACTCAAAGATTTGGTCGAACGACACGTTTCTCTCGCATCCCCAAACTTATCCATTTCGCTCACCAAAACATAAAATTTCCGTGATAACGACGAAAAACTACATCTTCTCTCCTGTCCAGTGTGGCAAATCCTCGCAAGCGTGCAATACAGCCGAGCGAAAAGTGTCCCCGTAGTAGTTGGAAGGGACGTCGCTTTATTTCTCTCGAGCAAGGACAAGAAAAAACAACGAAGAAAAAAAAAAAAATACGGAGTGGATCGTTTCTTCGTCAGTTTCGTCTTCGCGAAGTTGCTGATTTATCTTTTCCTTTTTTTTCCCCCCTCATCCCCCCATTCTTCTAATCCACGATAGTTAAGGACAGCGCAACGGTGGGTTCCATCTTTCCGGTCACGTGCACTCAATCGGTGTATAAAATCGAGAGCCGCTGCCAAGAAGCCCGGAAAAGCAAAGTAAAAAAAGTAGGGGGGAAAGCTTGACCGCCAAGGACATCCATTCGAGAACCAATGATTTTAAGGTATGCCGTAGAGGGCGCTGTCAAAAATTGATGTCCACGTGCCCTCTCGCTCGGGAGAATGGAGTTTCTAACTAATATAATCCCACACCGACAAAGGAGCCATTTGTCAAAGGTATACATACAGGTGGGGTTTCTTTTTCTCGCACCCTGCACTCTTATGGAGTATATATAATTCAGTGGGTTGGACAGCGCTTGATTGATTTAAGTGCCCGCTGGAACGGGTGTACGATAAATCGTTCACTCCTTCGTCTTAATGTTGCAAGAGTGATGAATAATGACGTGTGATTAGATGAAACAATTGCGTATTGATGGTAGTTTTGTTCCTTTTTTTTTTCTGATTACAGTTTTTTTACTGGTAGAGGCGGCACTCCTCGGGGCCGGGGTGACTTGGCTGACGAGGTTCTACCACTCCTGTCCTGTACATAGAGGCAAAGACGTGATGTTAAGTGAGTACAACTTTGTAATGTTTTTAATTGTATATATTCAACCTCCTTTGATCGATGCGTCGAAATATCACGAGTCCCTGCGCTCAACACCGAATAAATGTAATAAAATAAGCAAATGTATTCACAAGTGATGGGACGTTGTGGTAAGACCCTCCAGTGGGCAAAGAGCTACCTGTGCTTATGGGAAGGAACGACCACACAGGTGTATACAAAGAGCTGCAATTTGAGTTCCAGAGTAAATGGAATTCGAGTGTGTCCCTACCGTAAAAATATCCTCTTTGGAATTGAAATCGTGTGTACAAATGTCGGTGCCAAACGCGTTTTCTCGTCCTCTCCTTCGATTAATCCCGCCTGTGTAGAGAGAGAACACCCCGTGGACTTGAATTTAGATGAAGAAAAGAGCTGCCCCTCGCGAGGGACGGGATAAAATTTGGCGCAAATTCAAAAGACCAAACGAAAGAACTGGGGGGGGGGGCAGGGGGTTGAAATCGAGCAGAGAAAAGGAAAGAAAAGTGGCGACGGGAGTCATTTCAGGACCGATAAATTTCGTGAGGATTTCCTTCGAATACCTGTATGATCTAACGTAGAGTCATAGGGGCAACTCGGCGCAAAGTCTCCGTCTCCGATGGGTTATTACTTTTGGTTATTTATGTATACCTAAACGCCCTCCTACAAGGTAAATCGGTTGATCGGCAAAAAATTCAATCGAAACTAGTATTATTATTTTTAAGCAGCACGTCCATGCGGAGATAATAACTTTACATTCAACAAAATATGAAGAATTTTGTCTTACGTTACCTACGGATTTGGGGGACTGTTGTTATTTTTTCTTAATTTTATGAAGTGTTCACAGTTGGCGGGTTCCTTTTCATCATCAGCTCACCAGGAATATACACAATCCTTTGTTGTTTCATTCTATACTCTACCAACAAATTAAACGTCATAAATAAGAAATAATTATTTTTTTGTTTTGGTGTAGTATTTATCATTACTTTTGTGTCCGGCAAAGCTTGAAAGTGCCGCACTTTGCCCCGAACGACCTCCAAGAGGAAAACGAAGCAAAATCAATCGCGTGTCTCTCGTGTTCGAACGCGCGCTAAAACCCAATCGACCGAGCAGCTAAGATTCCGAATCCAATGATTCATATAACACACACCTATGCATGAGGCGAGAGAAACCACTCGAAATTCAACGCTCCTCTCGTGCCCCTCTCTATATATATTATATATAATATCCGATACGGTATTTCCTTTTTCTTCCCCGCTCGTGTCGATGTCGAAGCCATTGCTCTCCGAACGAACCAGACCCGCGAGATCGATTTCTCTTTTGCACCCTCCTTCCGCGGAATTAAATACGTCCCGCTTGTGGTGAAGAAAACCAAATGAAACGAGCAACTTTTATGGTTTTTGGACCACAGCTCTGGTGATATCGAACTGGTGCGTCCTGGTTTTGATAATGATAACCGTGTGGTGCGTTTACGACGCGGCGGGCAGATCTTGGGTCAAGATGAAGAAGTACCAGCGCAGCATGCGCGAGGCCGAGTACAGGACCAAGGCGCACTACAAGCGCAGCGGCAGCAACCGCAACTGGCGACAACGGTTGGTATACGTTATTATATTTATATTCGGTAACTAAGGATGTATATGTATCGTGTATTTTTACGAAAAACGTTTCACATTGGGAATTGGATAAATCGTATGATTCGTGGTTGAAATTGACGGTGGTTTAATTTTTTTTGCACGCCCCGCTAACGGAGAGCTTTTTTTTTTTAATTTTAAGAAAAACAATATTACTCTTTGAAATTGATCAATGTGTTTTAAGAAACCGATTTTTTAAGTAATACATCAAATGAGATTTATTTTGTTGTCAGATACATTTGACAAGAGAGAAAGAGCTTTTTCTCTCGAAATGGCAAGGATACAAATGTATATCGATACAACTATGAGAAATGATAGTTTTTTCACTGCAAAAAGATGATTTTTATCAGGTTTTTCTTTGTTGGAAAATTTCTAAATGTAATGTTTTTCGTCTCTGGCGATTTTTAAGCAAGAATGGACTACATTTCAGTTTTAGAATATGTTAAGGAGACAATACTCGCTCTAACAGTATTATTCTTTCAAATTTTTACTTTAAGATATAGTATTCTTACTCTCCGGATCGAGCACCACTAAAAATTAGCCTCTCGAAAATGCGAGAGAAAAAAAATTAGCACCTCTTTAAAAATAAAACATGTGAACCAGCTATTTCTTTCCTCCAACCATTGTAATATAGGACAAAGTATTTAACTCCACACAAAATGGTAAAATTTTTGATCATTGTCTTATTTTTACTATTAGTTTGTTCGTCTATTCACAATCAACGCCTAAAAACGAGTGTTGAGAAGCAAATACAAGAATTCTACGATTATCGTAACACGTCATTCAAATAATTTATTTCGTGTCGGATGGAAAGATAAAAGAAAATTCAGGACCAAGTCTTACTAGTAACTAGTCAGACGACTCGTCTATAATATATACGTTTAAGCGCAAAGTTGCGGACGAAAGAGCGAGTGGTGGTGCCCGAGACCGGGAGCTAAAACCGCACTCGAAAGGGGAATAAGTATCTGAATTCACTCCTATTTTCGCCTCTCGCTGGCGTAAATTTGCCATTTTCCTCTTCGTCCACCCATCGGTGCACTTTGCTCTCTGCTCCGTTCGCGATCGAGTTTCAACATTAAGTTTTCAAAGTCACTAACAACTACGTGGGCTACGTTATACGCATACTGTGGGTACATGCGGTCTTTTTGGTCGATTTTTCGCGCACCTTTTGGGGACGAGCTTTAAATTACGTGGCATAGGTACCGTTTTGTCGTTGGTCGCTTTGAAAATACACGAGACGCTCGCGATTTGAGGGTAATGTTTTTTCTTACGCAACGGAGAAAAACGATACAATAAAGAGGCCGAGTTTATTCAGTAAAATAAACTTTTGTGTTTAAGGCTTGTCTGATACCTTTTTTATCAGAATTACACTGCTTATACGTGACGCATAACTATAATGTTCGGACTTTCTTAAGTTATGACCAAATATTTTACATTTCCAATATTTTCATTATCCATTTTTTAAAGACGCAATTAAAAATTCACATTGATTAAATTCTATAAAATAATCATTGTCTCTTCGAAACAAACTTTTACACAAAAATTTCATCCTTTTCTCAAATGTTCAACAATATTTCTCGACTGCACGTAGACACTGTGAAAATCAAATAATAATATTACCAAGGAAAAATCAATTTCATCACCTATTTTCAACGTTTGTCGAGTTTTACAATAATAAAACTACTATTATCCACTGACACAAAATCATAGAGATTAATTTTTCGAGAATAGAAAAAACTGTTTTTCACCATTTATACCATCAAAATCAATTCCTGGACAAAATATATAAAATACAACTTTGAAATTTTATCCTTTGGTGCTATAATTAGTTTTAACGATCTGCATAGTAATAAACATAAAAAAATACATTTAAAAAGTGTTTTATCTATTTTCTTTATAATATACCACATGTAGATTTAATATACCTACATAAAAACGATTGAAAAATAAATTTATTTTATATTTCATATAATGTATATCTGTAAAACTTCAATTTTTGAAAGATTATTGAAAAGCTATTTAAAGAATGAAAATTTGAATACGGAAAACTAGATATTTCTTTTTAGTTCTGCTGTTTACTAGTAAAACATTTTTTGAATGGAAAAAAAAATCGATTCACTACTTATTACACTCGAAATTCGTTTTACATCGCAAATGTACAATTTGATTTGTTTAAAATTTAAGACACTATCGTGGACGAGTCGTGTCTAAACAGCTTGCATTACATTATGAGCGAATAATCAACGAAATAATTCTTCAACGGCTATAAAAGAGAAAAAATTGTACATTTTAGAAAAGTGATACGCGCCTACCAAGACAGCTGGGACAACAGATGCAGGATACTGTTCTGCTGCATAGGAAAATCCGATAGGAACAGAGTGAGTGGTAACAAAGAAGAAAAAAAACAAAAACAAAAAAAAAACAAAAACCATTCGGTGAATTAATCCAAACACAACTTTTTTTGACAACAGAACTCCTTTGCGGACATAGCCCAGCTGTTGAGCGACTTTTTTCGCGACCTGGACGTGGTGCCGTCCGACGTGATAGCCGGGCTGGTGCTCATGCGGAAATTCCAAAAAATCGAGCGCGAGCTCATAGTCAAGCAGCGCAAAAACGACACGTACGAGTTCCTGTCGGGGGTGCCGATAACGCCCCGCACCAAGTTCCTCTCCCTCACCGAGGACGGTGACCTCGGGCACTTTCAGTCCGCCATCCACTACATGCACTTTGCCCTCGCGGCCTACGGCTGGCCGCTATTTCTCATCAATCAGTCCAGCGGCGTGTGCCACCTGTGCACCAGGTAATGTTTCATCGCCAACGACTACTCAATGCGGAACTCTATTTTCAAAATGTTTTTACTACTTTCCAATGACAACAGAGTCACAAATGCTTTTTCAAATTTTTACTTTTCAATATTAAATTTTAAGCCCCGTTGAACGCACTCGCCATGGATTTCGCGTTAACAAGTTTCACTGCACGCGTTTGCATACCAATGACAGTAAACTAATAGTTTCAAAATTTTTTTCCGGTGTACGATTTTTTCAAGTACGGTATACTTAAAAAGTTTCTAGTTGTCATTGGCTCAACATGACCCTGTAATTATCGAGGGTTTGAGATAATCTTATGTAAAAAAAATCACGCGTTATTTACAAGTGTAATTTTAAAGGTTGTTTAATACTTTTTGAAAAGTGCATAGGAATCGGCTGAATTTTTAACAATAGTTATTTAGAATTTCAGGAAACCATATGAATTTTTTCAATTTTTTTTGGAACAAATTGTTTTTTTATTATTCATAAAATACGAGTTTTCACTTATTGCTACCCTTGAAAGCTTGCATTAAGAGTGCAAATAGTTGGTCAAAATTATTTTAAAAAATTTACACGATTTCGTGACACTGTCAATAGTTATTGTTGAAGGTTTCACTACTTTCTCTGCATTTTGAGAAAATTGTTAAAAATCTTTAATTAACTACGCATTCTGAAATCAATTAATATCTTTGGAAAATCACCCTATCCCCTCCTAATTTGTACTCTCTCGATATCTGATGGAGAAAAAAAAAAAAAACAAAAAAAAAACCACTTGTTTGATGGTTCAATCGCAGACTTAGGTGCTGCTGTTTCCCATGCACGAGGCGCAACGACGACGCGACAATCGTCGAGGACAACTGTTGCCTGTGCAACTACGCGACCATCCGCAAAATGGTCGAGATCGGCGAGATCGAGGTCGTGTACGCGACCTTTCACGTGGATGTTGGCGAGACGCCCTTCTTCGTCGCTCTCGACTACACGAAAAAAAAGGTTCTACTCACTTTTTCCTCCTATCCCTGTATCGCCGAAAAGTCACAAGTCGCGTGCGTTAGTTTCGAGGCGACAAACTCATTTGTATAATTTCCAAAATTTCACGCGTATGAGTTTTCGAAAGTTTGAGCTGTCCAATTGTTTCTTCTTACGAAAAAAAAAAATTAATTAATTAATCTTACAAATTATACATTTATAGTATTGGTAACAATAATATTTAAAGTTGACTACTATTTCTATCAATTTTGTCAAATGTTTTATGAGAATTAAGTACCAGCATTGTTTTTGCTCAATGAATTTAGCAACACCCTTTTCTTTTCTCTTTCATCATGAGTGACTTTTGTCGCGTTGTAAAAAAAAAAAATCCTTGCTCCATGAAGTCAATAAACAGGAGGGGGTTGGCGTGGGGTGTAAAATAACAGGTGGTGGTGAGCATAAGGGGCACACTGAGCATGAAGGACGTGATGACGGACCTGAACGCGGACAGCGAGGCTCTGCCGTTGACGCCGCCCCGGGAAGATTGGCTCGGCCACAAAGGAATGGTCCAGGTGGCCGAGTACATCCGCAAGAAGCTCCACGACGAGGGGATCATCGCCAAAGCTTTGGATAAGGTGAGCCGAGCGAAACCCGTACCTACCCCCCTTTTCTTCTTCGTCTCGAGGGGATTCTTTTCTTTATACGCTTTCGGAGGATCATTGTGCCTTTTTTTCTGATTTTTTTTTCTTCTTCATCTCGCGCGGTAAGGACGCTGGGATTACGCGGAAAATCTGGGCTACTTTGTCGGTTCTTTTGATCACTTTTCTTCGAGGGGATTACTCGGATATGAGAAATAATCACCTCGTTTGTCCGCACCATTCGTCGGATTGAGGTACTATGTACAGCTCTGGTGCCAAATGAATACCGGAAAATCACATTTGCATAGGTATTGAATTGTATACATCATTTGCTATTTTAACTGAAATTCAACGAGACTCCTCGTCTCGTCTCGACGTCTCGAAAAAATAAACATTTAGTCCCTTCAACCCTTTTCTGCTTTCGACATACGTACGCGTGACCAAAGTAGAGACTTTTTAACACCCGAACAACTCTGGAAATGCCAAAAAAAAAAAAAATTTTCTTCGAGACTTCCGAGAGGCTCAAAGGTCCGAGACGAGACCTCGTATTTTTTCACCGAGACCATCTCGTCTCGTCTCGAAGTAGGTATCGCACAAGCCTACCATATGTATAGTGGCAGACTATTTGATTTGTTCTCGATTAGTTACTTTAAAATTTGGCGGGTGTAATTCACTGAAGATCAATCCCAAATTCCCCATGATATTATTTACCAATAAAACCAAATCTATATGTACGTCGATTGTGAAAAAAAAAAAAAAAAAAATCCACAGAACCCCTCGCGAGGTACGCGCGACTTTGGTCTAGTTCTGGTCGGTCACTCGTTGGGCGGCGGTACCGCCGCCATCCTGGCGATCCTAATGCGCCAGGACTACCCGGATCTCGAGTGTTTCGCTTACGCGCCACCGGGTGGCCTGCTCAGCATGCCCGCCCAGGAGTACAGCCAGGAGTTCATCACGTCCGTCGTCGTCGGCAAGGACGTCATACCCAGGATAGGCCTCAGACAAATGGAGAGCCTCAGGGCCGACCTTCTCAACGCCATCAAGAGGAGCGTCGATCCCAAGGTATATTATATGTGCACACACCGTAAATGATTGCCCGATGCGACTTTGTGCTCCCAACATTTTTTTCACTCTATATTTTCCGCGGGGGATAAAAAACGCGCGCGCAGTCCTCCTCGAAAATTCATTATTCGCTCTTTGCTCTCGGATAAGGATCAAGAGCTTTTTTGCACGGCACGTGCCTGGCTTTCCGGATGAGAGGTAAAAAAAAAAAAAAAAAAAAAAAAAAGAANTATATATTTTTCGAAGCTTGCATTGCATACGCATTCTCACAACTACATGTTTGTACGATGATGGAGCTTGCGTTCGCAGTGTACGATCGTACATACACCGCTGATAGAGCTTGCGTTCGCAGTGTACGATCGTACATGAACCGCTGATAGAGCTTGCGTTCGCAGTGTACGATCGTACATGAAATCTTCCATCGAATTCATAGTATTTACTTTCAAAGAATACACTGATATAATTGTAGAAAAACGTTTACTGACATTATTAAATTTGTCAGCCATTTTGATCAAGCCATTTTGTAATTTGGTGCCACTGAAGTTATTCTTGTTAAGTCAACTTTTGTAACCCTAAAAATAAAGTTTTCTGAAGCGTACAAAAAAAACCCTTTTTTTCCCTCAAAATTGACAGTTTGCCCTGAATTAGGAGGTTAGAATTTTATTTTTAAGGTAACCTTCCATTTTTCCCTTTTAGTCAATCATCTTAGCTTCAATCTTCAAATGTTTCGTTCAGAAATATTGCTTCAACGGAACTTTATTTGATTTTGAAAAGACCCTGGTCAAAACAGAGACTCAAAAAAAAAAAAAAAAAAAAAAAAAAAAAAACCCTTCTCTTCCCTCTACAGTGGAAGACGATAACTTGTTCGGTAATGTGCTGCGGTTGCGGGGCCATGCCGACCTCGGCGGCGAACCTCGAGGCCGAGGGCAGCATCAGCGAGTACCAGCGGGAAAAGGACCTCGCTCGCTCCGAGGCCATCGTATCCACGGAGTCGTGCACCGCCCTCACGCTGCACCGGCCGCTTTATCTCCCCGGCAGGATCATACACGTCGTCAGGCATCACCCGAACAAGGGAGAGTGAGTTGCTTTTCCTTATCATTACGTGTTTCTTCATGAGTTTTTTTTTTTTT